CCTCCCTCCTTCCCCTCCCTCCCCACCTCCTCCTCTCCCTCCTCTTCCTCCCTCTGACGTCACCGTTCGCCGCGTTCAGGATCACCAGGTATGACGTCACGCCTATCAGCTGACTTCCTTCCTGGAGTGAAACACACGTGGGAGCCATCGGTGGCTGTGTGGATTAATGGATTAGTGGCTGTGTGGATTAGTGGATTAGTGGATTAGGGGACGATTTTCTTAAAAAGGTGGATGGGGAATGAGAGAAAAGTGGGTGTGGGGTGTGTGGAGGGGGAGGGAGGGAGGGAGAGGGAGGTGAAAGAGAGGGAGGAGAGGGAGAGGGAGGGAGGGAGGGAGGAGGGAGAAGGAGGAGAAGAGAGAGAGAGAGAGAGAGAGAGAGAGAGAGAGAGGAGAGAGAGAGAGAGAGAGAGAGAGAGAGAGAGAGAGAGAGAGAGAGAGAGAGAGAGAGAGAGAGAGAGAGAGAGAAAGAAAGAAATAAAGAAAGAGAACAAAGAACAAAACATCTAAAAAGAAAACGCCAAACAACGCTAAACAAACGACCAAAGACCCAAAAAGAGAGAAAAACCCGAAGAGGTCAAAGCGCTCAGCCGACGCGAGGTCACACCGCCGACCTGACAGCGCGACGAAGAAGAGGCTTTTGGGACTGCCCTGGCGGTGTTTTTTTTTTTTTTTTTTTTTTTTAGATTTCGTTGTGGTTTATGTCTCTTTCGGTGTTGATGTTGTTATTTTTGTTTGTTATTGTTTTGTGATTTTTTTGTTTATTGTTTTTGTTATTGTTGTTATTTTTTGTTAATGTTATTTTTTGTTAATGTTGTTATTTTTGGTTATTTTTTGTTATTTTGATTATTTTTTGTTATTGTTGTTATTTTTTGTTAATGTTGTTGTTATTTTTGGTTATTTTTTGTTATTGTTATTTTTTGTTAATGTTGTTGTTATTTTTGGTTATTTTTTGTTATTGTTATTTTTTGTTAATGTTGTTGGTTATTTTTTGTTATTGTTATTTTTTGTTAATGTTTGTTGTTATTTTGGTTATGTTTTGTTTTTGATTATTTTTTTGGTATTGTTTTGTATTTTTGTTATTGTGGTTATTTTTTGTTATTATTTTTTGTTATTGTGGTTATTTTTTGTTATTGTAGTTTGTATTTTTATTTTTGCTGCATTGTGTGATGGTTTTCGTTATTATTTATTGTCATTTATCATCATTGTCGTTGGAATTCTTTTTATCATTATTACATTACCACTATTGATATCTCTGTTATCATTATGATCATCATTATCCTTATTACTGATATCATTATCATTGTAATCAATATCATTTTCATATTCATGATACTATTATCATTATTATCATTATCATTGGTATCGTTATTATTATTATCAACTATCATTATCATTTTATATATCATTATTATTGTTAGCATTATCATATCTATCAGTATTTTTGTCATTATAATTATCGTTATCATAATCATTAATATGAAAAACTTCATTATTCTTATCGTTATCATCATCATCATCATCTTTATCATTATCGTTGATATAATATTTGTTATTGTTGTCATTATCATTATTATCATCATTATTGTTATCCATCAATATTATTATTATCACGATTCTTATTATCATTAGTATGGTTATTGTTATTAATGTCATCATTATTGCTATCATTATTATTATTACTATCATTATAATAATTACCATTATTACTTTTATCATTGTAATTATTATCATTATTCTATTACTATTATCATCATCACTATCCTCATATCATTATCACAATCATCATCATATCATTATCACAATCATCATCATATCCTTATCACAATCATCATCATATGCTTATCACAATCATCATCATATCATTATCACAATCATCCTCATCATCATTATAAACATCACCACCATCACCATCATTATCACCAACATCATCACTGTTATCATCATATCATTATCACAATCATCATCATATCATTATCACTATCATCATCATCATCATAAACCTCATCACCATCATTATCACCAACATCATCACTATTATCATCATTATCATCATACCTTTTACACCATTAAAGCCCTCCCGCAGATTCGGGGCAAGACAGACCCAACCCGCGCCTGTCAAGACACGCCCATCTTTCTCGATGATAATACGCCCATTTGCTCATCACTTGTTTCCTCCGACGCCCACGCTCTCAGGCGCCCACGACGTCAAATCTGTCATCATTAGATATTTATTTTATGATGGCGATGCTGAGGTAATTTTGGAATGCTCAATCGGGAACGAAATTAGGGGATAAAAATGAATCAATAAATGAGTAAATAGATGAATCGATAGATAGATAGATGGATAGATAGATGAATAGATACATAAATGAATAAAAATAAATATATGAAATTAAAAAGGTACATGGATATACAGGAACTCAAACACGAGGACAATAACATACATAAATAATGGAGGTATATATATATATATATATATATATATATATATATAGATAGA